AGAGGGAGGGCTCCAAGAGCCCCCTGGCGACCCCAAGAGGCCCCAAAGAGGCCCGAAAGAGGCCCCCAAAAAGACTCCAGGAGGCCCCCGGAGGGCCCCGAGAGACCCCAATATGCGGCAACATGCCAAATCCTGCTCCTCATGCTCCTGCTCCTTCTCCTCCGCCTCCCCCTCCTCCTCCATGGTCGCGAGATTTGCATGCTAGTTTCCAGGAAGTGGAACTGTTTCCCCAGCAGGCGCGAAGGGCACCAAAAGGCTGGCACCAGTTGCAGTGCCGGCCGCTGCGAGTTAAACACTGGCGCCGCTGGCTGCTGGAACCTATCGCTGGAGGGCAGCCTGATGAACCGGATCACGATGATGCCTTTCAAAGAGGACTCTATTTCGGGTTTGAGACCGCCCATTCCGCAGGGATTAGCAGAGAAATGAAGCGGTGAGCGCTGACGATGTTTGCCGTAATTACCTGCCACGGGAATGCGGGCGGAGGGAAGGGAAGAAGAAGGGAGGAGGGGGGAGGTGGGAAGGGGGGAGGGCTGGGGCAAGGGACACATAGAAGAGAGCCAGCTGCATTAAAGCCACGCGGCTTGTGGTGCGGACGGAAGTTCCTCCTCCTCCTCCTCCTCCTCCTCCTCCTCCTCCTCCTCCTCCTCCTCCTCCTCCAGACAGAGACAGACAGACAAACAGACAGACAGACAGACAGGCAGACAGACACGCAGACACACAGACACACAGACACACAGACAGACAGGCAGAGCCCGTCGCCGAAGTCCAGGTCCGCATGCAGTTCTACACCCAAGTTTGGCGCACACCTCACACGCTTCGTGGCCCCACGAGGAGCTCCGCTGAAGGCCCGAGTGGCACGGTCCGAATGCAGTTCCGCAGCTCCACCCCCCACCTCGACGCACCTCTCACACGCTGCGTGGCCCCACAGGGAGCTCCACCAAAGGCCCCAGTGGCAGCCAATTCCTTCGGCGCACCCCTCACGCGAAGCGTGGACCCATACGTAGGTTTGCGCGGCGTCGGCGCGCGCAAAAGGTTTTGTCACCGCGTCGGTCGTTCAACCTTGAATCAATCGCAGCCCCGATCGTTCAAATTGAATTCAGTCGGGTCCAGCGGCGTTACCGTGTCCGTCGATGCTTCCCAGTCGCAGAATTCAACCTTGAACGCCTTCGCTGGCGTCGCCGGCGCGCCCACGCGGCATGAACCTACCGTAACCACTAACTGTCTTTAATAACCTGGTCCCCTAATTGTTTTCCCGCGGGCTTATTGACGGAGTGGGACCCCAACGAGAATTCATAATCCGCCACCGTGCCGCTGTGCATGGAGCTGGCGTGTCCTCAAGTCCTTCGTCTAATCCCTGAAGCACTCCTGAGGCATCTTTCAGGGGAGGAAAAGCAGGAGGGGGAGGAGGGGGAGGAGGAGGAGGAGGAGTATGAGGAGGAGGAGGAGGAGGAGGAGGAGGAGGAGGAGGAGGGGAGGAGGAGGAGGAGGAGGAGGAGGAGGCGGAGGAAAATCCAATATTTGTTTTCAATCTCTCTGGGCTCCACGCGTGCCCCCCGGGGCTTCCCACGGCTTCTCGCCTGACTTCTTCGGAGCCAAGAGGGCCCCAAGACGGGCCAAAAGGGCTCCAAGAGGCCCCGAAGACGGTCCAGGAGGGCCGAGTCGCCGAGCGATCGGCGCAAGATGCCCACGACGGCCCGAAGACGGCCCGAGGGGCATCCAAGACGCCCCACGAGGCCTCCAAGAGGCCTCCCAAGAAGGCCCCACGAGGCAAAAACCAGTGATTGTCGTCAGGTTTTTGAACGATGTGGGCATGTTCGCCTTTTCCGCTTCCCGACGCTCCAAGACGGCCCAGGAGGCCCCCAAGACCACCCCACGACGGCCCCAGAGGTCTCCAAGAGGCCCCAAGACGGCCCAAGAGAGTCCCAAGACGGCCCCAGAAGCGCCCAAGACGGCCCAAGAGGACCCGAAGACGGCGCCCGAAGATGCCCAACAGAGGGAAACACCCCAGGAGGCCCCTAGGAGGCCCCAAGAGGCCCCCAGGAGGCCCCAAGAGGCGCCCAAGATGCCCCAAGAGGCCCCAAAGAGGCCCATAAGAGGCTCCAAGAGGCCCCAAAGCAGCACCCAAGAGGCTCGAAAACTGCCTCCAAGGAACCCGTCGAGAGGCCTCCCACGAGATCCCAACAAACATACAATAGGCTGCATAACCACAGCCCAGGCACGGTGGCGGGATGGACCGAAGGCCATTAGATAGGTGTTCCACCGCGGCGGCCACCACCCAAGCCTTCGCTATAGTCGTCGACGCCGCAGTCGCTGTGAAGACGACGACGACGACGACGACGACGACGCGGCAACTCGATTGAAGATGTAGCCAATGATCTTCAATCCGTGCACAGAGAAGCTGAAAACTCCTCAGCCGTGCAGGGTAGCCCAGGAAGCATTACCTGATGGGAAATGACCGCCCAACTGTCTCCGGCACGCCGAACAGTAGGTGGCAAGGAATGGCACGCGCGGCCACCACTGAGCAGGCTCAGCACACGTATGGCGAGCTCCTGTTGAACATGATAACCTGCGCAACTCCCATATGAAGGCGACGACGACGATCACGACGACGACGACGACGAAGACGACGAAAACGACGAAAACGACGCGCCGCCTCGATTGGATATGCAGCGATTTGTATTGCAAGCGTTACATTTACAAGCTCGAAGGTCTGGTGTCGCGCAGGGTAGTCCAGAAAGCATTATCCGATGTGAGGCATAACCACCCAACAACAACTGACAGGCAAGCAATAGTGAGAAAAGAATCGTTGGCGCCCGAGGGTGCCTACAGAGAAAAATTGAAGATGTTGCAGCTGAAAGCAGGACAAACAGACCGATCTGGGATATCTATAGTTATGCGTATATACATATATATATATATATATATATACAAATAAAATGTATGCATATATGCCCATATGCCTGCGCCGTTAAAAACCCGTCTGTATATGTATGCACATGCAAGCTGGTCGATGCTCGTATTTATAGGGTTGCACTGACACAGGGAATCCCTCGGTGCGCACAGGTCGAGCAGACACACCTTGCACGCACAAGCCGATCAGGAGACGCCCATTAGGTGGGTGGGCACGGGGAGGGACCAGGAGTGGAAAGACGATGATGGAGGAGGAGGATGAGGACGAGGAAGGGACGGAGGGAGGACGAGGAGGGAGGAGAAGGGAGGAGAAGGGAGGAGGGAGGTGAAGGGAGGTGGGAGGAGGATGACCAGGAGGAGGAGGAGGACCAGTGTAAACCAAAGACTCACCAACGATGTTGGAATAAACCCTCCGTCCGAGCTCCCTCTCCGTAGGCCCCTGCAAGGGTTCATTTCCACTGGGGGATCCGCCTCGTCGGGAGACAACTGATTGAAGACCCACCGTTTGATAGGCCCCATATGGGCACTCCACCGGAGGCCCCAGTGGCAGGGTCCGCACGCGGTTCCACCCCCCTGTCGGCGCGCCCCTAACACGTTGCTTGGCCCCATACGGGAGGAGCTCCACCGAAAGCCTCAATGGCTGCGCTGTCATGGCGTACACACACCCGAACAGGCACACCTCTTACACGTCGCGTGGCCCAGAAGGGAGCTCCCCCTCGTTCGTTCCTCTTGCCATTCCCGCTTGCCTTGCGGCACTCGCATCCGCATATGGTCGTGTCCCTCGCCAGGATAAATAGCATATGTCTTTCGGGAACCCCGATATTGAAACCTTGTACGAACCTCACAGTATTGAACAAGATTCCGACATGCGCGCGCGACGACGCGCGCGTGTGGATTGTATCACATGTGTGTTGCAGGGGACGATTGGAAAATATCAGATTCAATAAGCGAATTCGCGCGCATGGCATCATTTGACAGGAATGAAAGGGGGCAAGACTGGGATTCCCTGGAATGGTGGGAGCTCGGATGCTAAACAAACGATTGAGCATCATCGCATGTGCTCTGTACGATTCCAGCGGTACGCGATAAGTCCCAAGGGGAATATAATATATATATATATATATATATATATATATAGTGTATATATATATATATATATATACCCCGACCCTCCGCTTTTCTTCGGCGCAGCCAGAGCGCTGTGTTCAAAGGAAGAGGGCCCGCCCGAGCTACCCAGAAGTTTTGAGAGAGAAAAAAAAAAAAAAAAAAAAAAAAAAAAAAAAAAAAACGGCCCACACTGGCCCACGCCCGCACACCAGCCAGAGCTCGCCGAATACCCCCCACCCGCACTGGCTCACCAGGAGGCCCCGGCAGCCAGCAGGGTGGAGGTTTCAGCGAGCCCCGAGTGCTAGGAACTTCTGAGGGTACTCTGGGGGGGGACCAAGACTCTGACTCTGAGAAATTCAGGCATGCACGCACGAACATGCGCTACCACGAGGTTCTCAGACTCAGTAGGCATGCACGTACAGAATGCACTATAACGAGTACGCCAGGCAGAGACACGGGAGGTGGCCCAAGCAAACTGCGGATGACCCCCTTGGGGTCGGCTGCGCCGAACGTTTCACGGGAGCCTCTCAGTATAAGCTACTCGGGGAGATGCCATATACCCCGACCCTCCGCTTTTCTTCGGCGCAGCCAGAGCGCTGTGTTCAAAGGAAGAGGGCCCGCCCGAGCCACCCAGAAGTTTTGAAAAACCCCCACACACCAACACCGGCCCACACTGGCCCACGCCAGCCCACCAGCCAGAGCTCGCCGAATACCCCCCACCCGCACTGGCTCACCAGGAGGCCCCGGCAGCCAGCAGGGTGGAGGTTTCAGCGAGCCCCGAGTGCTAGGAACTTATAAGGGCACTCCGGGGGGGACCAAGACTCTTCCATGACCCCTACTCTGCACAGACTGCTTTGCAGGATGGGCGTTCCCCCCTTTGATGCATGCCCCGCCTGGCGCCTTTCCAGAAACTGACTGATCAGAAGGGAGAGGAATAGGATGAAGTCTGAAAGGAGGGGGTCGGAGGAGAGGGAAGCATCCTTTCAGACATGGGAGGCGAGCGCGCGGGCATCCGCAAGCTGCAGATCCGACAGCTGCAGCTCGGAAAAGTCACGCGTGGCGCCTCCGCGCCGAAACGAATACAAGGTCACCCTCTCGTCGGTGAGGCCCAGCGCGACCACCACGCGCCTGAAGAGCCGCATGAACTCACCCCTCCCGATGTTCAGGATGAGCTCGTCTGGCGGGAGCTGTTGCACATGCTGCACTAGCAGCTTCACCGCGACCCTGGAGCGGATCATGACGAGCTCAAGCCTGCCGTCTCGCTGCCCCGTCTTAGTGTTGCGGAGCGCCACGATTGCTGACACCCGCCGCTGAAAAATGCGAATGTCCTTCCGCCTCAGTTGAAGCATCCCACCACTGCGCAGCATCCCTGCGTAGCCGACGGCGAGCAAGGCGCCCACCCGCGGCAAGCCCCACCAGCAGAAGGCCCCTGCAAAGGCGAGGGCAAGCAGCGGCGGCATCGGCATGGCACGGGCGTTGGGCCCCAACTTAAGCCATGTCTTTTGGAGCTTCCAACTCTGCTTCAACTTGCCCGACAGCGACGGGCTGAAGAATGGCACCGCAGCGAGCACATTGTTCACTGCAAGTAGTGAGCCGCCCGTGCGCCATACGTGCTCGATGTACAGGGCAACGCCTTGGTCAACATCTCGCACACTCTTTGGGCGCAGCTGCTGCTCGTTGAAAAAATCTCGTAAGTGCTGTCGCGCCTGATCATAGCGCTGCCTGGTGACTGCAGCAACTCGCCCATCCTGAAGCGGCCTGCTACGCCTGAGCCGCTTGGCGCCCACGGCCCGCTTGAGCCGCGCTGCCGTGGCCTGCGCGCCGACGCCCCCTGCAGCCCATGTCAAACCAGCGCGACGGCACATCCGCTGGGTTGTCGTCCGTGTCGACGTACGCGTACAGCGGGTAGCTGCCACAGGCGAGGAGGTACGACGCGTGTGCCCGCATCCAGCCCCACAGTCTCCTGGCGCTGGACCGCCCCTTGGCGAGCACGCTGGCCGCCACCTGCGAGTCGAGGAGGTGGAGGTAGCGGGTCCCGAATCGAGCTGTCGTTCGGGCACGCCACTTGACCGCATTCACAGCTGCGCCCACCTCCAGCTCGTTGATGTGCGCCTCCTGCCTCCACGGGAAGCCGTGCCCAATGGACCACGTCCACAGGTTGGACTGCAGCCCCGAGCGCGGCCAGGCCTTGGCACGAAAGGGGGCCTGCAGGTCCAGTCTGACGTCTGCACCTCCTCTGCTGGCGATCCGCAGGTACTTGAACACCAGCCGCCTCTCGAGGTCAGGATCGCTAACCTCGGCGCCCCCAAACTCGGGCTCCTGGCCCCACGATGGCGGCGCCGCCCCCGTGCGTAGCAGCGGCACGATGTCGGGGGCCGCACGCCCAGCCTCTCGAGCCAAGAGCTGCGCAAACAAGTATGACACGACCTGCACGGAGAACGAGTTCCCGATGAGCGACGACCTGATGATTTCCGCCTCAACACCAGGCAAAGAGTCCTTCACAGCAGCGCGCGTGTACCCTCGATCAAAGCCCATCAGCGTCTCACGCTCATCAGCAGTGGGGATACGCCACTTGTCCCTGGCCGCGTTCCAGAGAAGGTTCTGATCCTCAAAATTGTACACCTGCGTCACATAGCTGGAGGCTGTCCATCGTTCGATCGCGATGTCGCTGGCCGTCTTGATCCCTGCGACCGGGGCTGGGGGAGAGCTCCTCTTGTACAGCTTAGCGAAGGTCGGCAGCACGTGACTAGGATCAAGCAGGCTCCAGCCGTCTTCAGCCCTGACTGGGACGGCCTCAGCAGCGACATGGAGCTTCACCCTTGTGGTGGAACTCAGTCTCCTGGATCTCAATCACATCGTCGCGGGCTTGCAGCTGCCAGGAGAGCCAATACAGGCGCGGCCTACGCACCGCCCCCACATCCATGGCCTCGATGCGGTACGGCTTGACGCCAAGCACCTCGGAGACCATCGCAATGTCGTCCTGCGGCATGCCCGCCACGTTCTCGACGAACCACTTGGTGCGCTGCTTGCCGAAGACCCGCTCGATGGTTCTGAAGGCCTCGGGCAGCTCGAAGAACAGCTTGCTCTTCGCACCAGTGATCCCCTTGCCAGCTGCATTGAACCCGCTCACGTCAATACACGGTGAGCCGCCTCCTGCAATCGCATAGCTCGCAGCCGCAGCTGCAGAACGGGCGACCTTCTCCAACGATTCTGGGGCGAGTTTGGTGATGTCCCCAAGCTCGATCACCCCTGGCCATCGCTGCCTGACGCACCTCTTGGCCCCCTTGTCTATCTCCGAGGAAGCGTGCATGACGACCCTCCAGGGGCACCGCGACAAGGCCACCATCGCCGCGCCGATCCCACCAAAGAAGCCGAAGAGCGCCACTGTCGGCAAGGGCACCCCTCGAGGCAGCAGCTCCGGCGGCACTACCGATGACATAGCGCCCCGTGGCAGGAAGGCGAGCCCCTCCTCACCAGGGTCAGCGCCAGCCACCTTTGCCCCCTGCTTGGTGAGGCCCGTCGAGTAGCACAGCCCGCCGCCCTCCTCGCTGGCGTCGGTGGCGAGGACGACGGGGTCGAAGGTCGCGCGGATGCTGGTGAACGCCATCGGCAGCAAGCACAGGGCGGCCAGCAGCTCGGTGCGCGCCCCCTCGGGCAGGCGAACAACCTGCTGCAGGGCGCTTCCCCCCTGCTCTGAGGCGGCCCTCAGCTCGGGGATGATCCATACCTCGTCGAGCGTCGCGAAGAGCGGCCTGCGAAACTCGCACGCTCGGGCAAGCCGCCCAAGCACCATGAGGCAGGCCTTGGCGGTCACCTTCTCCTTGCCAGCAAGCAGCCACATGATCATCTGCCCGACGCTCATCAGGTTGTCAATCGTGACCCCCACGCGGCCGGCGACCCCGCCCACGAGGGCGCCCATCCTGACGAGGCGACGCTGCCGACACACCGCCTTCTTGTCCGACCAGGGGACGCGGGCAGAGGAGCACGCCCTCCGCTGGCGCTCCTGAAAGTCGCTGATGGCCCCCTCGATGAGGGTGGCGACGCTCTCGGGCACGATCTCGGGGGAATCGAAATCGTCGAGGTAGTACTGCACCCACGCCTGGGCCTTGGCTTGAGGCGCAAGCGGCAGCGGGCGGTCACGCCGCCACTCTACCTTCTCCTCAAGCCCCGCGCTGTGAGGCCCATCACCGATGCCCAGCCGCCGATGCAGGTGCTGGAACAAGCTCACAGCAGACAGCCAGCCCATCGGGATCACCGCGACCGCCATCTTGACCCACATGAGCTGCGGCCGCCCCACCAGCGACCCAGGCACCGGTTTGCGCAACGCCATGTACCCCCGCCAGGCCTTCGGTGGAGCGTACAAATGAAACGCCCCCGACTGGTCGTCTGACGACCACAACAGGGCCTGGCCATCAGGCACGACGATGGACGCCCACGTCGAGCTGGGGGTCAGCGTGTCCAGGTCGGTCTCAGCAATCCGCTGGTAGGCATTCTGCGGCACCATGTTGATGATGAGCCTGGTGGCCCTCGTGAAGGGCGGCGCTGGGGTCCCCGACTTTGCCAGCTGCAAAGGCCCCCGCGAGGACCTGCTTCCCCCCGACCTGGAAGATCTCCCGGTCCTCGACAGGCTCGAAGATGCCAGCGTCCACCAAGTGCTTGCACAGGGCGTACCACTCGTCGTCGTTTGCCACTTGCACGCTGGCCTTCGAGACCTCCTCTGGCCATTCATCCTGAGGATTGAAGAGCAGCGTGGGGTCCAACAACCACTTCTGCACATGCGGAGCCGCGAGATCCATGGCCTGCACGGAACCTGCCAATCCCGGCTTGGGCAGCCCTGGTAGAAGCTCGCCCATCACCAGTGGCCCCCCGCGCTCAACCTCCTGTCCGCTGTAGCCGATCCCTGATCAGCTTGTCGATGTCCAGGTCGCTCAGCGGCTCCAGCGCGTCCTTCGCGAAGTAGGCGGCCGCGCAGCTGATGTTGGCAAGCGCGACCTGCTGCGCCTGAGATGCGATCTGAGGCCAGGCCCGAGGCTCGCCTGCCGCGCGCCCCTCTGCTTCAAAGTTGAGCCCAGCAATGATGGCCCACTCGATGGCCTCCTGGCAGCCCTTGTCCACGAGAGCCCCCTGGTCACGAAGCGGTGCCCCGCTCTTGATGAGGGCCTCCGTCGCTAGGAGTGAGCTCTGCATCGGCAGAGGCAGCGGGAGGAGATCACGACGACGCGCTGCCCGCGGATCTGGCTGCGCCGAACCCACACGACGGAGGTACGACCCGAAAGCACCTGGGTCGGCACGGCACACGTTGACAACGCTGAGCGCATACTCCAGCTTCGTGACTTGGCACCTGGTCAACTCTTTGACTTGGCGCGCTGCAAGATGGTCATCAGCCGCGCCTTGTACGCACTCTTCGTCTCCTGGGGCCCTCGGGCGCTCGCTGCCCTCGGCTCCTTGAACGTGGGGATCTGGGGGGCGCCCTCGTTCAGCCGCACCTCTCTCGACTGGCTGCCCGTCGCACTCGCTGCTGCCCGAGGCATCGACGGGCTGCGGCTGATGCTCTTCGCTCTGAGGCTCGCCTGAGGACGCCCGTTGCCCACAGCAGCCGCTAGCACCTTTCTGACTGGACTGGGCCCAGCCTCGCGACCGCTCTTCGCAATCATGTCCAGGGACGCTGGGCTCCCTCCAACAACAGCGCGGGGTGAGGGAGCCTGCGGGTGGCCTGCAGGAGGAGACGCCCGCCCCGGCGACTCCTCCCGGCCGAGCCCCTAGAAACGCGGCTTCTTGGCGAGCAGCTTCTCGCGGAGCTCCTCGCGCTTCAACTCCGCGTGGGCCACCCGCCGCGCTGCCACCTCCTCGTCGCGAGAGGCGGCGCTGGGCTGAGCGTCGGTAGGGATGAGGGCCATCCACTTCGCGGTGTACCAGTCGCCGTCCTTGATCGCCGCGGTGCGCGCCTTGAACTCCTGCATCGCGACGTCGAGCGCCCTGACCGTGGACCCCGACAAGCCCAGGTCGAGGATGGTCGCGAAGGTACGCAGCAGCCTCACCTCGTGCGCCCCTAGACTCTTCGGCGGGTGCTCGACGAAGAACACCGCGTCCAGGAAGGCCCGGCAGCAGGGAGGAAGCTCGCCGCCAGGGGCACCCGCAAAGAACTGCTTGACGAGCGCCTCGAGCCCCGACTTCAAGAGGCGGCCTGGCTTGCGCCTCGCGTAGTCGATGAAGTGGTCGTGCTTCACTCGGCCCTCGCTGCGATCTCCAAGTACATCGTCGTCCGACTCCCTGCTTGCCCCTGACTCGTCGTCGTCGCGCGGCGGGCTCCCGCGGCGCCCACGACCTCCACCGAGCCTCGCAAGCAGCTCGCGCTCGAAGCTCGAGTGCCCGTGGCTCGAGCGCCCTCGGCCTAGGCTCCCGACCTTCTCGATGGCCCGCGAGGCGAGCACCTCCTGCGCGGGCCTGTGGGCACCGTCGTGGCGGCGGCCTTGCGAAGCCACCGCACGTTCCTGCAGCAGCTCCTGGGTCCGCTCCCCCGCGACGTCGGTCCCTTCCAGCTGGCGCATGGCCTCGTCGAGAGCATCGATGCCGCCACCAGCGCTGCCACGGCCACGGCTCCTCGACCTCCGAGGCGGCGCCTCGCGCCGAGCGGGCGGCGCGCGGCCGCGGGGCTCGCCGCGCGCCTCTGCCCCGGCGCGGGCGCCAGCCCGCCCGCCCTCGCACGGCTGGCCAGCATCGCCCGGCCTCCCGCCAGCGAGGGGGGCGCGCGCCTTCCGAGGGGCAGGGACCAAGGCGTCGCCACGGGCCCCCTCGCCAAGAGCCGGGCGCCGCCGCGGCTCTGACAGAGGGAGCGCGGCCCGCGGCGGCCCCCGCCGGGGGGGCGAGCGCGGGGCCTCCTCGACGGCACGCCAGGCACCCGCGAGCTCCTCGGGCCTTGGGTCGAGGTGCTCGCCGTCGTCCTCGTCCTCGTCGTCCAGGCCCTCGGGCTCGGGCACAGCAGCCTCCTCGCCTCGATTGCCTTCGGCGTCTCCATCGGCGTGCTGAGCCATAGCGATGCGAGTCCGCTCGAGGGCCCCGTCGCTGCCCAACTGCATGCAGAGCCCGCTCGCCTTGACACCACTGCATGCAGAGCGCACCAAGTTGACGTGCTCGAGAGCGTAGCCGTCTGGCCCGACAACGCGGCACTCCCGCGCAGGCACGGCGCAGATGTGCAGCAGCGCGTCGGCCCCGCGAGCGCTCGCCTCGCCCACCGCCGAGGCGTACCACTCGAACTAAGCGTCCGACGCGGCGATGTGCTGAAACTCCACCAGCACGCCGCCGCCAGTGGGCCGCCAGGCGCGCTCGACGCAGACGAGCTCGGATCCCTGGCTGGCCCATGAGTCGTCCAGCACGCCCACCTGCAACAGCGTGCCCGGCCGCAACGCCACCCGCTCCAGGGCGTCGGAGTCGAGCTCCGAGTTGATCCAGAGCCCGGCCATCTCAAGCCCCGCCGCCGCCAGCCAACATGGCGCGCAGGCTGCCCCTCCACGGGAGAGCCCACGGCGGCGGCGGGCGGCCGCGGCCCGCTGCGCAGCCCACTGGGCGCGCTGGCGAACACCAGCGCGCCCTCTGAACCAAGCAAACTGCGGATGACCCCCTCGGGGTCGGCTGCGCCGAACGTTTCACGGGAGCCTCTCAGTATAAGCTACTCGGGGAGATGCCATATATACATCCCTTTTGAAAACGGAATAAACGTGTTGCAAATTACGTGGTGTAACGCAATTTGGTGCAATCTGCGTGTTGCTATCTATATCTATATATATATATATATATATGTATATATGGTACAAGATATGTGGTGAAAAAATGATAGCATCCGATGTGAAACTTCACCAATGCTGCCAAATTGGTTGTCGAACCCGCTGTTCGCGCAATCATCACCCACGCACCCACAACTTCGCCTGCAACACCCATGCGGCGACGATTGCGGTGACTACTAGACGTTGGTTGGAGCATCGCTGCGGCCGCGATAGCGCGCGCAGGTTCGCGCACAGAGCGGCCAGCTAGTTTGGCGCGACCGACGCGGCCGCGGCGGCGCTGACCGACTGTGACTCCCCCCAGCGCGTCTCGCAAGCCACGCTGACGCGCGGGCACTTCACTGCGAGTCGGTGACTCGGGCGGCCGCCGTACCACGGCGACGTCGACAACGGCGGAGACGAATGTGATGGCAGCGATGCTGGTGCCGATGATGACGATGACGACGGCAACGCCAATGTCGGCATCGATCCTGGGCACGCCGATGATGACGATGATGTCCACATGTCTCCCATGGGAGTTTTGAAAAGATTTCGACGTGCGCGCGCGGCCGACTCGCGCGAGTGGCCCGCAGAATATTAGTTGATAGGGGTCGTGCCCCCCGAGCAAGCGCGCAAGGACCTTCGAATGATTTCGACATGCGCGCGCCAGGGGCCCGCTCGGTCGCATTTAAGGAAACGGTTGAAGATGGTGTATGAAGTTGCAAAACCGTGTGTTTTTGAAGGTTGCCTGGAACATCCATCTTCCAATCCGTCCGGAACCTCAGGTTGATGGGAGATTCCGACATGCGCGCGCGACGACGCGCGCGTGCGACCTTGGTCTACATGTTGCAAAAGAGTACTCGAACTTGCTAGTTGTTGATAAACAGGTGCGCGCGCACGAATTTATTTGACAGGGGTGCCGATGGGGGTCGATACAGGCCAGGCTGGTATGGTACAAAACCAAATGGGAAATAAAAAGCTGGGCAGCCTCACATGTAAGTTGGAGTGTCCCAGGGGGTGCCTCTAAGTCTGGGGAACATGGTTTTTATATGAGTATATGAAAAGAGGCACACACAAAACAAGCCCCCCCCCCCCCCACAAAAAAAAACAACAAAAAAAAAACGTAACACCCGAAATACTTGTTCTAAGAAAACATACGTGCTGCAAGATATGTGATGCAGTCTACGTAGGACGATATAAGTGGTGTAAGATGTGGCGCAAGCTGCGCAGTGCCATCTATGCGAGAAACCATGTGGTGCCATTGACGAGGTACTATATAGATGGTGCAATATACGTGGTGTAAGCTATGTGATGTCATCTATATGACGCAGCTGATGTTGTTAGCGTCGTGTTGTCAACTCCACTGCTCGCGCAATCATCCCACGCTCCCACACGCAACTTGGTTTGCAAAACCCATGCAGCGATTGCGATGGCTGCTTGGCGCTGGGTGGCGCATATCTGCGGACGCGCTAGCGCGCGCAGGCTCTCGCGCAGAGCGGCCAGTTGGTTTCGCACAACCGACGCGGCCGCGGTGGCGCTGACCGATGGTGACTTCCCTGCGCGTCTCACAGGCAACGCTGGCGCGCGGGCATTTCAATGCGGGTCGGCAGCTCGGGCGGGCGCGATAGTGACGTCGACAACGGCGGAAACGATGATGATAAAAGCGATGATAGCGACCATGATGACGATGACGACGGCAAGGCCAATGAAGGCGCCGATGCTGGTCACGCACATGACGATGGTAATGTCCACGCGTCGCTGATGAAGGTTTTGGAAGATTTCGACATGCGCACGCGGCCGACGCGCGCGGGTGGCCAGCATGGGATTATTTAGTTGGGATCGTGCCTACCCAGAAAGCGCGCAGTGGCTTTCGAATGATTTCGACACGCGCGCGCGAGGTGGCATCTTACGAGATTGTTGAACAGCCGATGGTTTTCCGAAGAATTTGACAGAACGCGCGCAGATTTATTTGAACAAGGAAAACCACAAAAATAGGCTTCGTGGCTAAAGGTGTTCAAGCACCTCGATGTTGAAATCTCTACGAACCTTCGGGTTCGGAAAGGATTCCGACATGCGCGCGCGACGACGCGCGGGCATCTGAATGTTCACATGCCTTGCTTGAAAGGTATCTTTGTTGACACACGAATGCGCGCGCATATGATTAGTTGATGGAAATGAGAGGGAGGCAATCGAGGGACTCCCTGGGATGGTACGAATTCAAATGCAACCTGAGCGATGAGGCAGAATCATCTGTAAATTGTACCATCTTAGGTGGGACCTATTGACCCTGGGAAGGTGTCTATACTCTTCTCAGAAGGGAAGATCTATCAGGGGCGGCCAAGAGGGGGGTCCAGGAGAGGGGGGGCGCAAATCATGGCCGGCGGCACGTACGCGGGGCGGGGCCGGGGACGCATCGAAATAAGAAGAGGCGGCATGAAACCTGGGGAAATATCACGGCTCACGCCAGGATATCCACCATCCCCCCCCCTTTTCCATGAAACGTAAGACTCGAGTAAGCCGGGACTCGGGTTTGCCGACGCTCTTTTGCGAGGCGCGCCCTGGATTTTGACGGTTCAAATCTTCGTGGGATGTCCGCAGCGGAAGCTCACGTCAAATTCCAGGCTGGGTCCCAGGCATGCGTCGTCCTGATCTTTTCAGGACGGCGTCCCTGGAAGTCCCAACCCTTTCCCCGGAACCGGCTTTTCATCCTGAGTCGTTTTTGACGGTCCCGAGGCCCGGCGAGGCCCCCCCCCGAGGCCGAAAACTGGCAAAAACCTCCCGTCCTGATTTTTTAACGACGCGATCATGTCTGAAGTCTCGTCATTCTCATGACGGCCCCGTCATGCCAACCCGAGCCCCCCGTACCCGAGTCCTACGTCTCCCCCATCTTTGCCGCCCCCAAGTCTACGAGGCCCGCACACTCGGCGGTGGACAAACCTCCCTTTAGTAAACTACCCTTTAGTGAAGGCGGCCTGGGACCGAAACCGACGGACCTGGACCCGCAAAAACGACGACCTTGGCCCTGTAAGCGCCTCCGTGCCCCAGGAGGGTCAGAGGAGCAACACTGGAAGAACCTAAGGAACACCGAGCCCCTTCCGAACCCAAACTGTTCCTTACTTCAGCGTCTTGACTGCATCGACCTCCGACTCGCCTCCGACATGCCCACCAGTGCGACCAAACTGCGGCGGCGACTGGCGGCGGCCACCACGGCCGGCGACGGAGGCGACCAACCAGGCCAACCGGGCCAGCAGCACGGGCCCCGACGGGCGGCCACGGGCGGCCACGAGCCGGCCAGACCAAGCACACGACGATGGCGGTGACGGTGACGGTGACGATGACGATGACGATGACGATGACGATGACGATGACGATGACGATGACGATGACGATCGTCATCGTCATCGTCGTCGGCCCAGACGGGCGGCGGCGCGACGAGCGGCGACGGGGCGGCGAATGGGGCGGCCACAGGCTGGCCGGGGCGGCACGCGAGCCCAACGACGGCGTGGCCTGGGCCCCACTGGAAGAGCTTCCCCCCTAGATGGGGATTGGGCCGTTGCCTTCGGGCCTAGAGGGGTGCATCTCCACCTGGGGGGCAATTTGCTGGGGGTCTCGAAGGAGGAGGAGGAGGAGGAGGAGAAGGAGGAGGAGGAGGAGGAGGGAGGAGGAGGAGGAGGGGGAGGAGGAGGAGGAGGAGGAGGGGGGAGGAGGAGGAGGAGGGGTGAGGAAGGAGGAGGAGGAGGAGGAGGAGGAGGAGGAGAGGAGGGAGGATGAGGAGGAGGAGGTCGAGGAGGGGGTCGGTCGAACGATGGTGAACGCGAGCCCGAGCCCCGACGAGGTGGCGGCGGGCGGCCAGGAGGCTGCGGCGGGGCGTCGGGGCGGCCAGAAAAGCCCGCCGGGGCGGCACACCGGCCCAGCTCCTGGCAAGACAACGCAACGGCCCTCCTCCTCCTCCTTCCTCCTCCTCCTCCTCCTCCTCCTCACTCCTCCTCCTCCTCCTCCTCCT